CCTCTCACACTCCGAGCGCATGGGAGTGATGGTATGCGCCGGTTTAGAAACCATTTCCCTCACTTATTAAAATGAGAAAATGTGTTTATGATTGCCCCCCTATGGCACGTCTCTCTTCCCTTTGATCTATCCTCTCTGCGTCAGCATCAAATGTTAGATATTCAAATCTCGTTACATTTATTTTTGTTTCCTTTACAGCAGACGGGCACATCTGACAGACTATTAAGTGTTATTATTTCCCCTTTTTCACAATAGACTCCACAGCAAACACTACACAGGAACCACAATGATTGAGGAGGTTACAACCATTGTCATGAAGCTTTGGAGGCAGGCGAGAGAATACAAACAGACAGATTCAGATTTTTTATTTTATTTTAAAGGAAGTGTTGAAAGACTTGTTTTTGAATAGCGACTCAGGATTAAAACAAACTGCTCCACACTGGGTCATCTTCCATCTGTGATGCCCAGTCTTGTTATCTCAGGCTGCCAGTCCAACAACTGTTAAGAAAAACAAGGTGTCGGTTTGAAACCTCGAGCCTCCAGCGCGTGACGAGGTTGTCAACTAAACAGGCCAATCTATTTATAAACACACCGCTACGGTTCGAATGTGCGAATAACATCTCAGAAACTTTGATTGCAAAGCAAATGAAAACATGACACTCATAATGAATATGTTTGCTCCTCTAACAAAAAAGTAAGGTCTCAAGTAAGTGTTATGTTGTTTAATTATTAATTTATGTTTTCTGTGGGGGGGTTTTAGAAGTATTTTCCACAATAAAGATTTTAAATTAAGTATGTCCAACTTTAAGAGTGGATGACAATTCATCCATCCATCTTTTTTCTTCCACTTATCCGAGGCCAGGTCGTCAGATGCCTGAACCACCTCGACTGGCTCCTTTCGATGTGGAGGAGTAGCTTCCACATTGTAGATCTTCTTGAACTTTGTACCTTTTTTTTGCTTCTGTTAATTGACAATTCACAGTAACAGATAATTTGACCAGCGGTTCATGGCACTCTGCATAGATCCATTCTCAACACTTTGTTTCTGTGTGGCAGGAGCCCAACGTATGCGGTAATCTGACAATATGAGCTGTTTCTGTGTGGAGGGAGGCATCAGCTGTGGGTAAAGGGTATAACAAATCAAGGGGGACAAGTGGAACAAGCCAGGGTGTTTATCTGATGCTGTGTACTCGCCATGCTCTAAATTAGACGTCACCACTGTTTCTTGTCACGAACAGAATCCAAATGTGCTGTGGGCAAAAGAGATACTTAAATGCGATTTACTTGCTCTAACATGATTTAAATGAGCCTCTTGGCTCGCCCGGACAGATTGACAGCGTTGTCTTTATCGCCACTTTGTTTTATTTTTGGCTGTTTACTTTGCCTCTCTGCTGTCATCTCGTACTACCACTTTAAAAGAGCCTGCTTAGATCTTTAGAGATCTGGAGACAATAAGCATCCTTTTATGTTCTAAGTGCTTCATATGACAAATATGAAAAGGGAGCCAAGAAAGAGCTGACAATTTTTGTGTCGCCCCGTTCCTCAGCTGCACAGAGCTTTTCAGGGAGAAGTCAAGCCTGCAATCTTTTAACATTAGAAACCTTGCAAAGAGATAGACCCCTCTCATTCAGGGTCTTGCTGGGTCAACGTCATTAAATGGAACTTCATGTACAAACAAAAAGCATTTCTGTGGAATAAAGCCTGAATCTTGAATACTCTGTTTGCGCACAGTGCAGTGTGAGTCTTTTTGTGCAGTTTGTGTTTATGAAAAAGAGACCATTTGTGTAGTAGGAATCACATTATTAGATTATTGTGTTCCCCACTGTTTTCTGCTGGCTAACTGAGGAAAGGCCTTGAAGGTTTTCTGTAATAAATTCTAATGTTGTAATCTGTTGTGCACAAACCACTCAAGATAAATAACTAAGCTAGTTAGTTTTTTTTTTTAATCAGTAGGCTTGCAGTGAAGTGAGATGCATAGCAGTAGTTTGACATATTACCAAAGAGATGGACTATATTTAAGTGCTATTAACCTAGGGAGAAGTTGATTGGACTAGACCAGTGATGACACAAACAGTTTGACAGTGTGGGAAAGTGGAAGTGATAAGCTTAGATTAAGCTGACAGCACCTGGGAGCGGACAAATGTGAGGCCATAGATCTATCTATCTGAACTTGCGCATGAGCTTCATTAGTTTACTTGTTACTGGACACTTTATTAGCCACAGCTTCCGACTACCCGGCTGGACTAGTTGGACCCATCTCCCTTGGCTTAATTCTACAACATGCAGATTCAATAAGGTGTTTGAAACATTCCTTAGAGATTTTGATCCATATTAACACTCACCAGACCAGGCAATACTTTTACATTGTCCACTCTCTTCTATTGTAGAATTTGATGAGCTCTTGTGATTTGCACCCTTAGTTTATTGCTCTTAGCTGACAGAAGGGGTTTTCTGCCGCTGATGTGATTAAGGTTCAACGTGTTATGTATTCAAAGATGCTCTTTTGCATACCTTTGTTGTAACAAGGAGTTAACAAGTTCCTGTTTCCTTCCCATCAACTTAAAGCAGTGTGGCCATTTTTCACGTTTTTCACAACGCACAAACAGCAAATGGAGATTTTCTCTTTTTCAGATAATTTTCTAAATTGTAGAAGTGGTTGCATGGGAAAAATCACAGTAAATCAGCAGTAATACAAGATCTTTTGGCATTAAGAACCATGCCAAGTTCAAAGCCACTCAAATCACCTCTGTTCCTTACTCTGATGCTAAGCTTGAACTTTGTGTTGACCGTGTCTACATGCAATGAATTGCTGCCATACATTTGGTTGAGGGTGTGTGTTGGATATGTCTCAGATAGAGCAAAGATAGCAGTCTCCCAAGCTAAGCTAACTATTTCCTCATCTCATATTGTAGAATTTGGTGAGCCCTTGTGGTTTGCGCTGCTATAACACTGTCGGACTAACACTGTACAGTTTCTTTGGAAAGAAGCGCCGTCTCTCAAAGCGAATCAGGCATTCTGTCATTTTAATTTCATGACCTGTGCCGTCGACCAAGTTTGGTCAGAAATTATATTATGCTGTGCTAGTAGTAGCTAACAGGTCAGTAACTGCTTACTGTAATGACATTGCAGTTCTCAGTAACAATATTAAGCTATTATATTACAGTTAAAATGATGTTGTTACTTGCATTACAAATGTCCTTCAGTTATCTGAACTAGTGCTACAGTCAATTTCATTTTGGGTGCAGGAGGTCAAAATGGTGGAGTAGTCTACAACTTTGAGGAGTGGAGATATGAACATGGATTTTATTTTTATTTCAAGAAAGGATAAGAGCATTAGGGACATGCAAACTGAGTTCAGGACAGAAACAGCAGCAAAAATATTGATACAAGAACTTCAGGACTTTGCAACCTGCTGCAGACCGGATGTTAACACAAAGCTAGCAAAAAAAAAAAACCCAGCAGGATGTTAAAGACTTCTTTCTACCTGTTCATGTTTCTAAAGCAGACTCGCTTCGGGGATCGCTCTGAAGTGTCCTTTGGGCTGGTTTTCAACTTTGCTTTCTGTTGTTGTATCTCGGTCCTCATTAGGATTGGTGTGTTTGTGTTAGTGTGCGGTTTATATTGTTAACTTGTCGTTATGTTGCAACATGCGTCATGTCATTTTACAAAGAATTAGGAGAGTAATGGAACGACTAGTGTAACACATTACTTCCTACAGCAAGGACTAGGCAACATAAAAGTAATGCAGCTTTAAGGAAAGGTTATGTGTAATGTATTGCATTAGTTACAACTCCAACACCGGCAGTGGTAGTCTCCAAGATCTGTACAAAGTCGTTGAAGGAGTTCCCTTTTAAATGTGGCCAGCAGCCATGCTGGTGTCCCCTAAATTTCAGTCTTTATGCCAGCCTAAGCTAAAGGACTCTTGGGTCTTTTTCATTGATTCAACTTCTAATATATCACGAAGAAACCCATTTTTACTGTTGTTTTTTCCCAATTGCACAACTGTTGTCGTTGTTTTGTTTTTTTATCTGGCATACCAAGAACATTTCATTCGCTTAAGACGAGCAGCATCAAATCAGAGAAAAAATATTGACTCATCACATCTCACATTTACTCATCTGTTTACATCACGGTTAATAAAATGATAGTTAATCAAAACCAACATCAGTATACTAATAAATCCCACATTAGTGTTACTTTCTCTTATTGGCCCACAGTCTTTAGTGTCCTAGCTGCGATGGCAGATTTCGCAACACTCCAGACAAAATTCGAGACACTCGGTTGGCTCGCAGCACGACTTGAACAAGACGGAGTGGCAGTGGGCGTGGCAGGTGAGCTCCTCCATGGGAACCTCCTGAATGGCTGAACAGCAGCGGGTGCACGCGTGGCAGCAGGAGGAGCAGAGGGCGTGAAGGCATGATGAGCAAGCCTCCAGGAGACCCAGGAGCAGCACGGAGCAGTGGCACCACAGGCACGCCAGCAGCAGGTGAAAGCACGTGTCTGCAAAGAACACACGCAAAATCAGACACAAAACAGATTCAGCAACGTTCATCACGTGAGGTCAAACATGTTGTGTTCTAAGAGCTTGCCGCATCCCATCACAAACTGGGATTAACGACTCTATTAACCCTAAATTAATCTCTCACATGTTTGTTTGCAGTGGCAGCTGAAAGTTGAAAGATAAACTATTGTGCTGCAATGATCAAGTGTGATTGTGTTTACTTAATCACAGAGCTTTGTTCAGTCCTCATGGGAAAATAAAAAAGGCCGCAGAGGGCTTCCAGTGATGAACAACAACTAGGAAGGAGCTGTCACATGATAATTGTGCCGCTTCCTAAATTAGGTGCAGATGAAATTGCATACATTAACCCCACCAGTGGGTTACAGGGCGTCTCTCGCGATCCCAACAGTTGTATTGTTATGAAGCTAATGTTTTCATCCTCACACGGACTGGATAGCATGTGATATCATGCAAATCAAGCTGTTTTATCCTGTTTACTGAAGGAAATAAATGAAAAGGAGGCGGCAGAATTCCCTGGGGAGTGGGGTTGAGCGTTTTCCTGCTTAGCCGCCCGAATTATACACCCCCCACCTATAACTCATGGTAATACTTGTGCGTAGATGAAAACGGAGCATTATCTGTGGCTACTGTATTGATTTAATGAGTAACTTCATAGAGATAACAACATGAACACAATGATAAACAAGGAGTGGCCCATTGCACACTTGGAGAAAACAAGAGAAAGTGCAGCTTCAAAGCCTTTCAGCAAAACTTGAAACAGCTAAATTTGTATAGAAAGAGTCACTTTTATCTTCTTTGGTAACTCATTTGAATGTAAGCTATATTGCCAAAAGTATTCACTCAGCTGCCTTCACACACATATGAACCTGACTGCCATCCCTTTCTTCAACCATAGGGTTTAATGTGATGTAGGCCCACCCTTTGCAGCTATAACAGCTTCAACGCCACTGGGAAGGCTGTCCACAAGGTTTAGGAGAGGGTTTATGGGAATTTTGGGCCATTCTTTCGTTCTTCACTGTATTTGTGAGGTCAGACACTGATGCTGGATGAGAAGGCCTGGCTCCACTCTTAAATCATCCCAAACAAAGGTGCTTAAACATTAAGAGCTTCTTAGAGCGAGCCATTCTTTCACAAATGTTTGTAGACGCAGTCTGCATACCTAGCTGTTTGACTTTATACACCTGTGACCAGAGACTGGGAGTCTGATTACTTTTTTCAAGTAATGAGCAAAGTATTATTATTGCAAAAAACGAATTAGATTACTCTTACTTTCCTGTAAGCAAAAATGCTTTTGTCATAAAAATGACAAAAACATTATCGTCGGCTGTACACGTGGGAAGAAAACCTCTTTCTGCAGCGAAAAATTAAACTTCAAATCTGAGCAAGCACCTAGCATGCTGAATGTGAAATTCATAGAGAAAGCCCCGGATCCTCCCACTGACATGACTGTTGTAGCACCTGGCAAACCTCCACTGGCCCCACTCCTGCTAAACAGGTGAAAATAGACCTAGTGCTGCTGAATCTTTGATTTTATTTATTTTTTGGTGTGTTTTACTTGCATCTATTTGAAAGAATGAGTGTAAACACAAAAAATTATTTTATTTTAGATGCTGGAATATACAGAAAATAGGTTTAAATGTTAAACAAGTTTCTTCCAGTCAAAGGATGTTTTGTATAATTTAATTTTTGCTTGATGTAATGTGCATAAAGTTAAAAGATTAAAACTAATAAAACAAGTTTTAAAAACAGACTTTTTCATTTGATTACATTTTATATGATGGATTATGCAGAAACAAATAGAACTGCACTGAAAGGTCTATAAAGTATTCAGGTTGCGTATCATGTTTTTAAAAAGTAACTGAGTAATAAAGTAACTAATTACTTTAGAAAATAAGTAAGGGGATCACTTTCTGGGAGAAGTAATCAGTAACTAATTACTATTTTCAAGTAACTTGACCAACACTTCCTGTGACCATGGAGGGTTACAGGTGAATTTAATCATTTGGATGGGTGAGTGAATACTCACTTGGTAATAGTAAGTAGGTAAGTAAATAAAGTTTATATACAGGGTGGGCCATTTATATGGATACACCGTAATAACATGGGAATGGTTGGTGATATTAAAGTCCTGTTTGTGGCACATTAGTATATGTGAGGGGGCAAACTCC